TGCAGTGGTAAGCAGAAAACATATTTCTGGTACACAAAAGGACGAACAGGTCAATGAGACATGTTTTAGATGACAGGATGTTAAGAGGAGTCAAAATATGCGAAAACTAAAGCTTCAACACGACTAACCGCACGATTAAAATTGCCAATTCATTAAAGATTCATCCCAATGAAATGACAAATTTTCCTCACTATCTTCTTTTACCCCCTATACCATTGTTTAAAAAAGCTTACATGGTGGCTTCATCCTTTACTCATTGTTCAGACGCCATTGTTTAAACCATTCCTCTGGCTTGCACTGGAACCAATGTAAGGCAGAGTAGGACTCATGACGTTATACTGTAGAATAGGCATAAAGTACCCAAATATGAATAAAACGTATATCTTAAAGGAGTGCTTAAGGTTAACATTTCCAATGAACGGTTGTTAGCAAATGCATGTATACATGGATTTACAATAGATTACTAAAGTCGTGTAGAGATATAAACACACAGGTGCGGGCGAACACTGTATTTGTAGAATCATGTAAAACAGTATAGGTATATATGAGGTGGTGAGTTATGCTATAGTAAACTTGATCACACGTGTGCATTTACATTTATATATGCATCTAGAAATGTATTTGACATGAATGAAATGGGGCGTATATGTGCATTTATGCGTAGATATGCATTGTACTATTGAAATTGAGTACATATTTGTGAATATATAGGCAAAACATACATATATGCACGCAAATATACGTACGTATGAATAAGTGAATTGGTCTAGATTCATGTATGTGTACGTTTATAAATATACGCATTTAAACAAAGTGTTATGCCGCTGTACAATTACTTAATGAATAAAATTAAGAGAAGGCTAAAACACAGATAATTTTTGTTCGCATAGAGCCCTAATGTTCCCTAAAAATCAATAATGGCATAAGGCGTGGAAAGAATATGTTTTTTTATAATTTTGCAGTGTTTGGGGGTACTGGGGTGGTCATGAGGCCAGCTTTCACGGCAGAGATTTAACGGCGTAGACCCTAAGTACACTCTTGAGCAAAACGGATAATTAAAAAAATAACCAAAGCAGTAAATGACTACTATTCTCCCTTGAGCATGGTCTTCATGGAAATCATTCCTCGCCTTCTTAATTAAACATTGCGATGTACCCAATGTTTCAAAAAGCACTTACTACCCGACAGCGCCATTTATCAAATTTGTGTAAACCCGAGGGGATAGTTGCCCGCAGCATCGTCGATGCTTCCTGACAATTCTACTGGATCTGGAGTTTTGTTCTGTGCGTGCAAAGTAGGAGTAGTTTTTCGAGTTAAACCTCCCTTCCAAGGCTTAGTGTTTAAGGCTATACTGATGGTAATTTCTAATAAACCAGTGGTCTATATAGATCTGAGGCTCATCCAAGGGTGAATTTATCTGTTTGAGGCGACACGTTTATAGGTCCTGCAAAGAGAAAAATATGGTACAAATAAATTCGTTACTAAAACGACAGAGTTAAGCATTTTAACCTTGTTTATCATTGTTAACTGAGCCTAAAATTCGCTGCAGAGTACCTCTTTTTACGTTTTTTGGAGAGATTTGAAAGCAGTGTACTACCTGCACGTCCCAAAATTAAGGAGCGGTAAGTTTGGAGGACTGTTAGTAAGGGTGAAATTCCAGGAAATCAAAGAAGTGACACATAACTACAACTACTGATCCTCTTGTGTAATTAAATTAACAAAAAAATGCATGATGGTGTGCTGCGTGTGTAATACTCCTCATTGTAATCTTAAGTATGTCAATCTCCTCAACCAGTGTTTTGTTTTTTGCTGATTTTAAGGGAGTTACTATGGCAGCGTTAATATTAGTGAGCTCAAATAATTTGCTGCCTCATCACTTTAGAGTATTTACGAACCGGGCTTCAATTACCGAAATGCACACAACACATCCGTGGTCTTTAGTAGCTGTATGTCAAACGTCAATCAGTCTTCGTAGGGGCATTTGCCTAAACGTATAACGAATTATTAAAACCACTACTTTAGAGTGACAGATTGGAAACATCTCAGTTTCACCATGTTTCCTCTCCATAAATGAGGACCTCCTACATTTTGCCAAAGTACTCTGAGTCATTTGAGGCGGTATAAAAAGATAAGCTACTTTGTCAAGCCTATGATAGGGCAAGATCGGGTTGTAGATATTATGCAAGACATTGAGTGAAGAGGAGTTAATAAGTTAATGGGGTGTAGTGGTGATTGGTCATACACTTGTCAGCCTGATGACAAGGTAGATAGATGTTTAAAGTCAATCAAGAAGAGGCAGAAAGGCCTTAAAAAGACACCTCAAGTTATTATTATGTAGCTTCTCATGACGTTGAATAATAATTGTCATTCTAATGCATCTCTACGCTGTATGGTGAGGCCAAAGAAATCTGTGGTCCATGAACACAGACATTTTCTTTTAAATTTGCATTGGTGTATCCGACCCTGTACAATTACACGACAGGTAGGTTAACCTCATCATCTCAGCATAGTTATCAACGTTACATAAGAGGATTTTAAAGTATCCCACAGCTGACCTGTACATTTTGCAGAACTTTCCATAATTTGCTTACCCACGATGTCTCCTGCATCGGACAGCCAGAAATCCATTAGCAATTTGTCTCACTGTTCGCCACCATCGCTGAGTGCACCTAGAGTACAGCTACAGCAATACTGGGAGTGAATTTGAAAAGTGACATTCCTGGCGAACAGAC